TTTACAGAGCTAATTTTCTGACCTGATTGTTGTTTGCCTGTGAAACGCGGACAGTATATCAGTGCCATGCCAGGGAATGGAATTGCTGCCATTTAAATTATTTTAGGAAGATTCTGAAGATCATCTGGCAAGATAAGATACCAGACACTTAGATCTTTTCTCCAGCTGAATTGCCAAGTATTCAAACTCTGCTGCAGAGAGCACAACTCTGATGGGCTAGCAACATTGTTTGAATGCCAAATGTACATTTGCCTAAAAGACTATACTATGGAGAACTCACACAAGGCAAGTGCTTGCACAGAGGTCAGAAGAAGCAATATGGAGACACTCTCAAAACCTCTGAAGATCTTTGGAATAAACTGTATGACATAGGAAACACTGGCAAAGGACTGCCCAGTATGGCATTGCTGTATCAAAGAAGGTGCTGTGCACTTTGAAGCAGAATTGCAGTAGCTCAAAAGAAGTGTTAGATGCACAAATTTAGAGACATCTCCACTGCAAATGTTCTTGTGGACTCTTTGTGCCTGACCCTTGGTAAAGACTTCTGAGCTTATATTGATCTGATCAGCCACACCTTGACTCCACATAGTGATGTCTTTTTGGTCCTCTTCAAGAATGATGTACAACAACCAACCAATTTGAAATCTGGGGGTCCTATGTAATTTTCAGTTTATAAATGAGAAGACTTGGGGTAGCTGATGCCTGTGACATCAGGGCATTGATAAAATAAGCACATTAGTGTACTGTTGGTGGAACTATGAATTAGTCTAGCCATTCTGGAAAAATGTTTTGGAACTCTGCTTCCCAAATCTCGAAATTGTGCGTGCTTTTTGAGCCAGTGATACCACTACTAGACTTATACCATCAGAGAAATCCAAGGATGAGGAAAAGAACTCTGATGTACAATAGTAGTTATAGCTGCTCTTTTTGTTATAGCAAGGATTTGGAAACTAGTGGAGTGCCTGCCAATTCAGGAATAACTGAACAACTTAAGAATAATGAAATATTATTGTGCTGTAAGAAATTACAATAGGGGCAGTTTTAGAGAAACCCGAGAAGCCTTATTATATAAACTGATGTAGAGTAAAGTGAGCGGGACTAGTAGAATCATGTACATAGTAACAACACCAACAAAAAACACAAACCACAGTTTGAAAACCTTAAGAACTCTGAATTAAGACCCATGGTGAAACAGGCTAAGAGGGGAAGGACCTTAGTTGCAGAATGAGACCTACTTTTTCAGACATGACCAGTGTGGGGATTTGTTTTTGATTAACTATGCATACTTGTTGTAAGGGTTTTTTTTTCCCCATTGGGGGTGAGAGGTTTTTTATTCCCATTGAGGGTAGCCCCCCAAAAAAATAAAAAGAAAAGGAGGAAAAGATGTCATTCAGGCAATTTTTTAAAAGGCATAGAAGGCAACAGAAGGAAGGCCAGAAGGAAACCTAGACAGGACAGCTTTGAAAGTCAGATTTACATGTTGAATTTGTTATATACATAAGAGAAAAAGCAAACTGTAAATAATAGAGATTTATAGTTTCATGTATAAGCTCTTTTTGTATTCTTATTTGGATATGCTCATATTTGGTACTTGTTAAGTTCAGAATAAAAATGAAATTAAACACAAGAGTAATTAAAGTTAGAGTATTCCTAATGTGTAGCTTAATGATCAGACCATATTTACCTCTCTTCTTTACTTCTGACAACAGAGCTGATCTACTGCAATGAAGCTCATATATACAGCCTATGTAGTTCTCAGTAAGAAAAGTGTTCGTTGTGAATGGACCTAAGCAAATAACTCTAGTGATGAATGCATCTGTAATGTACTGTAGTTGATGAATGCATCTGTAATGTGTTGAGCACTAGATGTCACTGTTGTTCCATTCTATAGCACTGATTAGCTAAATAGTTTCTAGAAGAGAGCAGAAAGAAAACTAAGGAATATTTATTATTTGTGTTCTCTGGGAAACATATATGCTCTCAATTACTAAGTATCTGATGTTGAAAAGTTCCTGCATTACAACTGAATGATTTTCAATTTAAAGGCAAAAAAAGTCTATAGATTTGCTTTATAAACATTTATGAATATGCAGTGTGGCTAGACTTTGTATTTTATAAATTAATGTTAATTTTCCTTTTTTAATTTAATTTTTTTCTTACATTTTAAGTACTGAATGATTTCCCTTCCTTCCTCCTTCCCCACCCCACACTAGAGAAGGCCACCATTTAACATAGATTTATAGATACATGTATAACTGTACTATGTGTACTTCTTTTTATCAGTTCTTTCTCTGGAGTGGATAGCATCTTCCTTCATGGGTCCTTTATAGTTGATTTGAGTATTCATAGTACTTAGAATAACTTGGGCTGTTAGCAATTATTCTTCAAATGATGTTGCTGTTTACTGTATGCAAAGTTCTCTTGGTTCTGCTCATTTCATTTTCCATTAGTTCATTCAAGTCTTTCCATGTTTTTCTAAAATCAATCTGCTCATCATTTCTTAGAGCACAGTAATATTTCATCACAATTGTATACCACAAGTTGTTTAGCCATTCCCCTTTTGGTAGCTATCCCCTCAATTTCCAGTTCTTTGCCACCCCAAAGAGCTACAATAAATATTTTAGAACATATAGGTTCTTTTTTCTTTTTTCCTGATCACCTTGGGAAACAGATCTAATAGTGGTATTGCTAGGTCAAAGGGTATATATACACAGTTTTACAGTTCTTTGGGCATAACTTCAGATTGTTTTCCAAAATGATTGGATCAATTCACAGTTCTACCAGCAGTGTATTAATGTCCCAATTTTCCCACATTCCTTCCAGCATTTGTCATTTTCCACTTTTATCATTTTGGCCAATCTGATATGTGAGAGATGATGTCTCAAAGTTGTTTTAATTTTCATTTCTCTAATAATGATTTGAGCATTTTATGACTAGATAATAGTTTTGATTTCCTCATTGAAAAACTGCTTGTTCATATCCTTTAACCATTTATCAGTTGGGGAATAACTCATATTCTTATAAATTTGACAAAGCTCTCCATGTGTTTGAGATATGAAACCCTTATCTGAGAAACTGTCTATAAAATTTTTTCCCCAATTTTTTGCTTTCTTTCTAATCTTAGCTACATTGGTTTTATTTGTATTAAATCTTTTTAATTTAATGTAATCAAAATTATCCATTTTACGTCTCACAATACTCTATTTCTTGTTTATTCATAAGTTTTTCTCCTATCCATAAGTCTGATAGGTAATGTGTTCCATGTTCTTCTAGTTTTCTTGTATCTCCCTTCATGTATCCATTTTGACTTTATCTTGGTAAATGGTGTAAGATATTAATCTATACCCAATTTCTACCAGACTGCTTTCCAGTTTTCCCAATAGTTTTTACTAAATAGTGTATTCTTATCCCAAAAGCTTAAGTCTTTACATTTGTCAAACACAGGATTACTATAATCATATATTACTGTGTATCATATGTCTACTCTGTTCCACCGATCCACCTTTCTGTTTCTTAGCCAGTACCAGATAATTTTGATAATTACTGCCTTATAATATAGTTACTATATAGTACTGCTAAATCTCCTTCCTTTACTTTTTTTATTAATGCCTTTGCTATTCTTGACCTTTTATTCTTCCAAATGAATTTTTAAATTATTTTTTCTAGCTTAATAAAATAAATTTTTGGTAATTTAATTGGGATAGCATTGAATAAGTAGATTAGTTTAGGTAGAATTGTCCTTTTCATAATACAGGTTTTGCCCACTCATGAACAATGACTATTTTTCTAATTATTTAAATCTGACTTTATATAAAAAGCATTTTATACTTATATTCATGTAGTTCCTGGGTTTGTCCTAGCACATATATTCCCAAGTATTTTATGTAGTGTACAGTTATTTTAAATGGGGATATGTCTTAATATCTCACGGGGTTTTGTTGGTGATATATAAAAATGCTGATGATTTATATGGGTTTATATCTAGCTACTTTGCCAAAATTGTTTCAACTAACTTTTTAGTTGAATCTCTAGGATTTTCCAAGTATATCATATCATCTTCAAAAAGAAATAGTTTTATTACCTCATTGCCCATTCTGATTCCTTCAATTTCTTTTTCTTCTCTTATTGCTATTGCTAGCATTTCTAATACATTATTGAATAATATTGGGGATAATGGGCATCCTTGTTTCACTCCTGATCTTATTGGGAAGGTTTCTAGCTTATCTCCACTACAAATAATGCTTGCTGATGGTTTTAGGTAGATGTGTTTTATCATTTATACTTCTGCTTTCAAATGTTTTTCATATGAATGAGTGTTTTATTTTGTTAAAAGCTTTTTCTTCCTCTATTGACATAATCATATGATTTTTGTTACTTTTGTTATTGATATAATCAATTATGTTAATAGTTTTCCTTATGTTAAACCATCCCTGCATTCCTGATATAATTCCATTTGGTCACTATGTATAATCTTTGTGATATATTGTTATAGTCTCCTGACTAGGATGTTAGTTTTTATAAGACCAATTCAGCAATTCATCTAGTTTCCCTAAATTCTACTTCTTGTCTATGGAGGCTCTTCTAGGAGAAACCATTTGTTCCCTGACTTAGCAAGGAAAAAACCATACTCTTCACACAGTTGTTCTATTGCTAAGACACCATGCATCAGGTTAGCTGTGTCCTTGGGGATTATGAGGTGACTTTGGATTTGCTTAATAGTTAATGATTGAAATTTTGAGGTAGGATTTAGATTTTGTATAATTTTCTCCTCTGGTTCTTTTCTTTTAAATCAGTTGGAGTGGTGAAATGGGAATGGTTTAGAATGAAAAGGGAGAAGGATTTTTTTTTCTTGCTTGCTCTATTGGCCCAGGTAGAGCACATCAGAACATTTGAAATTTCTGTGTGATGATTTGCCTTTCTTAGAGGTCAATGTTCTGAAATAGTCATTGAGTTTTTTTGTTATGTTTTGCTTTTTGTTTGATCCTTAACCTCAAACTCACAGCACTCTTGCCAAAGTTGGAGTATCTTCAGATACCAAAAAAGAGGGGGAGAAGAAATTGTCTGTGAAGCCATTAGAAACCAAGAACAAGTTTTCTCAGGCGAAGCTGCTGGCAGGAGCTGTAAAGCACAAAAGGTGGGGGCCTCTTGTGTTGTCCATCCCCTGGGTCTCTTGTCCATTCCGCAGCCTCTCTATTAGGGAGATTTTATGCTGAATCTTAAAGAGCAGTAGCTTCTGGGGGTTGTATGCTTGATCTTTGGTCCTCTGACATCCTTGCCCCACTAGATACCTAGCCTTTATAATTAATAGGGAGCAGAGTAGCAGAATTGTGTCCTGAAAAAAACAAACCAGTACTGTCTTCCATCCGTTGGTTAAAGCAAAATAAAGATTCTTTGATACTACTGTATTATGTTACCCTCCCTTTCAAAAACCTTGAGTGGTAGTACTAATGTGACTGAGTATCAGATTATGTCAGTCTGACAAACCAAAATGTTGAAGAAGCATGATAATGCTAAGTTTTATGTTGTCTGTTTTATAAATTAATGTATATTGCCATTTGACCACATGTTGGAAGGAAGTGTATTGAAGCTGCCTTACTCTCCAGGAAAAAAAAAATCTAGTGTTCCCAGTAGCATTTCCAACATTTAAAAATGTTATATTGATTTTTTGAAGCTGATGTCAGTGAACATAAGGAGCACATCTGAAAAAGTACATCATCATTGTGAATTGGGTTTTTTGTTTAGACTATCACGTAAACACTGCCTACCCATTCAGTTTCATTATTTAGATTTATATACAAACTAACTTAATCTTTATTGCTTGTTCTAATTTAGGATGGAATTCATTTTTAAGTAAGCTTCATTCACGACTGTTTTGTGGTCTTGTAAAGTACTTTCTGTTGCTTTAGGTAATGGATTAATCTCTAGTTTCGACTCTGGGGCCCTTGGTTTGTTTACATTCTCATAATGATGGGCCCCTAGAAATAAGGAGAATGGCTTTCATTAAAATGAATCATTTCAAATGTTTTGGGCCCCATGAAAAATTTTCAGAAGGGTTCATCTTACCTTTTGTTTGATGCAGTATTGAAAATGCCCCAGTGATGTGCCAAAGAGACGAGCTCTTTGCATGTTGATCCCTTCTAGACGAGGATACTTCTTATGGCATGGATGCCCTTGACCTAGGGATTGGTCTGCTGGTTGTTTATAGCAGTGGTATCACACTCAGAAAAAAACCTGATCATAAAGATTTCTGCAGATCACATATCAATTTAGTTTTAAAATGTAATGTTATCTATGTTTTATTCTATTTGTATTTATTTTGTTAAATATTTCCCAGTTAATCTGGTTTGGTCCTGCATTCAGAAGTGTTGGAGTGTTGCTCTGTAGCCCGTGTGTTTGACACCTCTAGTTTACAGCTTTTTGTATACTTTGACTTCACAGTGTATAGGGGAAAATCTATCCATTGTGTGAGTAGTACATGAATTTTTGATAGCTGTAATGAGATAGATGAGAAACATTTATAACTTCACAAAGGATGTGCTTCAGCACACTTAACATATCACCACTTATCTCCAAACTTCAGAGGTACAACTATAGACCTACTTAGCCAGAAGAAATAGATTTTATAATTAACTAAGAATTTCCTTGAGTGCAGCAGAATTCACTTTTTTCAAGAGCTAGAAGGAATCTTGTCCAACCCTCTATTTTAATTTTTTTAATTAAAAAATTTTTTAAAAAAATTATCAAGCATCTATCTTTTTTCTTTCTTTCCTACCCCATTTTCTCTCCTATTGGAAAAGAGAAAAGAAAAATAAAAGCCTTGTAACAGATAAGTTTAGTCAAGCGAAATAGATTCTCCTGTTGGCGATGTCCAAAAATGTGTCTCTCCTTTAGGAGGTAAGGTAAGCACCTCCTTTTCTTCCTCTTTGGCCCTCTGAAATCATAATTGAGCACTCTATTAATCAGAGTTCCTAAGTCTTTCAAAATTGTTCCTTTTACAAAATTGATATTATAGTTCTGCTCACTTTGCTCTGCCTTAGTCCATACACATCTTCCCAGATTTCTCTGAAATCATGTTTCTTTTTTTTTTTTGGTGATTTTTTAGGGGTTTTTTAATATAAATTTATTTATTTTTAGTTTTCAACATTTACTTCTACAAGATTTTGAATTCCAAATTTTTACCCCATCTTGCCCCTCCCCCCACCCCAAGATGGCATGCATTCTGAATACCCCTTCCCCTAGTCTGCCCTCCCTTCTATCTCTCTCCCCCCACTTCTCTTATCCCCTTTCCCTTCTATTTTCCTGTAGGGCAGGATAGATTTCTGTACCTCATTTCCTGTATTTCTTATTTCCCAGTTGCATGTGGAAACATTTTTTTTTAAACATGTGTTTTTAAAACTTTGGGTTCCAAATTTTCTCCCTTCCTCCCACCTCACCCACCCTCATTGAAAAGGCAAGCTACTCAATACAGGCCATACATGTGCAGTTATGCAAAACACTTCCATAGCAGACGTGTTATGAAAAACTAACTCGATCTCCCTTAATCCTATCCTGCCCCCCCATTTATTCTGTTCTTTCTTTTGACCGTGTCCCTCCTCAGAAGTACTTCCTTCTGATTACCCCTTTCCCAATCTGCCCTTCTCTGTATCATCCCCCTGCTCTCTTGTCCCCTTCCTCCCCTATTTTCCTGTAGGGTAAGACAGATTTCCATACCCAATTAAGTGTGTATGTTATCCCCCCCTTAAGCCAAATCCTATGAGAATAAGATTCCCTCATTTCCTCTCACCTTCCCCTGTTTCCCCTCCACTGTAAGAAACTTTTCTTGTCTGTTTTGTGTAAGATAATGTACCCCATTCTACCTCTCCCTTTCTCCTTCTTCTAGTATAATCCTCTCTCATCCCTTAATTTTATTCTCCAGATATCACCCCTTCATCTTCAACTCACCCTGTGCCTTCTATCTATCTATCTATCTATCTATCTATCTATCTGTCTGTCTGTCTGTCTGTCTGTCTGTCTGTCTGTCTGTCTGTCTATCTATCTATCTATCTATCTATCTATCTATCTATCCATACGTACATATAATTTTTCCCCTCCCACTACCCTAATACTGACAAAGGTCTCATGAGTTATAAATATCATCTTTCCATGGAGGAATGTAAACAGTTCAATCTTAATAAGTCTCTTATGATTTCTCTTTCCTGTTTACCTCTTCATGTTCCACTTGAGTCTTGTATTTGAAAGTCAAATTTTCTATTCAGCTCTGGTCTTTCCATCAAGAATGCTTGAAAGTCCTCTATTTCACTGAATTGCCATTTTTTCCCCTGAAGAATTATACTCAGTTTTGCTGGGTAGGTGATTCTTGGTTGTAATCCTATCTCCTTTGCCCTCCGGAATATTATATTCCATGCTCTGCGGTCCCTTAATGTAGAAGCTGCTAAATCTTGTGTCATCCTGATTGTGTGTCCACCATACTTGAATTGTTTCTTTCTAGCAGCTTGTAATATTTTCTCCTTGACCTGGGAACTCTGGAATTTGGCTATACTATTCCTCAGAGTTTTCCTTTGGGGATCTCTTTCAGGAGGAGATCTGTGGATTCTTTCAATTTCCATTTTGCCCTCTGGTTCTAATATATCAGGGCAGTTTTCCTTGATAATTTCTTGAAAGATGATGTCCAGGCTCTTTTTTTGATCATGGCTTTCAGACAGTCCAATAATTTTTAAATTCTTTCTCCTAGATCTATTTTCTAGGTCAGTTGTTTTTCCAGTGAGATACTTCGCATTGTTTTCTAATTTTTCATTCTTTTGGGTTTGTTTTACACTGTCTTAATTTCTCATTAAGTCACTAGCTTCCAATTGCTCTGTTCTAATTTTTAAGGAAGTATTTTCTTCAGTAAGCTTTTGGACTTCCTTTTCCATTTGGCCAATTTTGCTTTTTAGGGCATTCTTCTCCTCATTGGCTTTTTGGACCTCTTTTGCCATTTGGGTTAGGCTATTTTTTAAGGTGTTATTTTCTTCAGTATTTTTTTGGGTCTCCTCTAGCAAGCTGTTGACTTGTTTTTCATGGTTTTCTTGCATCACTTTCATTTCTCTTCCCAGTTTTTCCTCTACTTCTCTTACTTGCTTCTCAAAATCCCTTTTGAGCTCTTCCAAGGCCTGGGACGGATTCATATTTTTCTTGGAGGCTTTGGATGTAGGAGCTTTGACTTTGTTGTCTTCTTCTGGTTGTATATTTTGATCTTCTTTGTTACCAAAGTAAGATTCTATGGTCTGACTTTTTTTGCGCTGCTTGTTCATGATCCCGGCTAATTACTTGAGTTTTAAACTCTTTGTTAAGGTAGGAGTCTGCTTCCAATGTGGAGAATGTACTGTCCCAATCTTTGGGGGTTTGTACAGCTGTTTTCAGAGATACTTGTAGGGACCTGTAAATTTTCAGTTCTTCCAAGGTGGTATGATAAGGGGCAAGGTGTTTACTCCTTTCCTGGCCTGTGACCACGAATATTCCTTTCTGTCCTGTAACTGTGAGGAAGGGTTCCTCTCCACAGCCACTCCAAGCTCCACCATGCCAGTGTTCCTCCTCACCCCAGCACCACTGCCAGAACTGTGACCCAGATCCACAGATGGGCAAAGCAAGAGATTTCTGCCTCAGCACTGGCAAAGAGATCCCTGCAGTCCCCCTCTGATCAGACACTTGATTCTCCCTCAGTCAGTGGACCAGAAGCTCAGGACGCAGCCACCACCTTGGCTCTCTGCGCTCTGTGCTCTGGAACTGGCTCTGACCTAGCTGTTCTCTCACCAAAAAAACAGACTTTTCCCACTGACCTTCTAAGTTGTCTTTGGTGTTCTGTGGATTGAGGAGTCTGGAAACCGCCACAGCTGCCTGTGATTTGTTCCTCTGAGGCCTGCTCCAGGTTCACTGGGGCCTGCGCACCCACACCAAACTGAGCTCCTCTACCTGCCTGGTGCGATATGCCTTTCCAAGCAACCATCCAGACTGTCTTGGGCTGGAAATTTGTTTTACTCTGTCTTTTTGTGGGTTCTGCTGCTTTAGAATTTGTTTAGAGCCATTTTTTACGGGTATTTGGAGGGGTTTGGGGGAAAGCTCAAGCAAGTCACTGCTTTCACTCTGCCATCTTGTCTCCACCCCCCTGAAATCATGTTTCTACACTTCTTTTAGAGTAGTAGTATTGCATTATATTCATGTACCATATGCAGCCCCAATTGATAGGTACTTCCTTAGTTTCCAGGTCTTTACCACCGTAGAAAGAGCTGCTAGAAATATTTTTTTTTACATAATATTTTTTTTTTCTTTGATCTCCTTGCGAATATAGGCCTAGTAGTTGTGTTGCTGGGTTAAAGGGCATATATAGTTTAGCAACTTTTGAAGCATAGTTCCAAATTGCTTTCCAGAATGGCTGTACCAATTTATAGCTAAACCATCCATGCATTGTTGTACTTGTTTTCCCATAGCCACTCCAACATTTATCATCTTCATTTTTGTCACCAGTCCCAATCTGATGGGTGTGAGGTAGATCCTCAAAGTTGCTTTAATTTACATTTTTCTAATTATTAATGATATGGAACATTTTTTAAAAATATGGAAATAGAAGCTTTTTCTTCCCTTAAGAACTACCTGATCATATCCTTTATCAATTTATCAATTGGGAAAATGGCTCTTATCCTTAAAAATTTGATTCAGTACCTTATATATTTTGGAAATGAGACCTTTATTGGAGAAACTTGTTGCAAATTTTTTTCCCCAGTTACCTGTTTCCTTTCTAATCTTAGCCACATTGAATTCATTTGTGTAATGACTAATGGATTGTATTTTCATTTTTCCCTCTGTTTCTAAAGGATCTGGACAATTTTTTTTAATGATTTCTTGAAGTATATCTAAGCTCTTTTTGGGAGGTTCTAGCTTTTAGGTTGTTCAGTGATTTTTAAATTATCTCTCCTTGATCTGTTCCAGGTCAGTTGTTTTTTGATGTAAGATGTTTTATATTTTCTTTTTTTTTCAATCTTTTGACTTTGTTTTAATATTTTTTGTTATCTTATGCAGTCATTAAGCTATTATTGGTTCATTCTAATATTCAGGGAATCTTTTAGTTGCATGAGGTTTTATACCTCTTGTGCTAAACTAAGTCTCTCCAAGTTTCTTCTCTATAGCTCTCATCTCTTTTCTAATTCTTTCATCTAGAGCTTTCAGTTCATTTAGCTTCATTTTAAACTTTTTAAAAATGCTTTCATCATTCCTTCTGGGAATTCTGATTGAACTTGGAACTGAAAATAGCCATGGTATTTTCTTTTGAGGCTTTGTTTATAGGTATTTGAGAGTTATTCTTCTCTTCTGGGTTTGCTTCTTGGACATACATGGCATCATAACAGATGCTGATCTTGGTCAGGTGAGTCCAGTGTCTGTTCTGGGTAACCCCACAGTTGGAGCTCTGGGTTTTGACTCAAAGCTTTAGTTCCCTCTGGGAGATACCATGGTGCTAGTATGGACCAGCTCTGAGCTCTACACATCCCCACTCTGATGGCCTGACTTAGCTATAGGCAATGAGTCCATGATCCCAGCCTGCTTCTGTTCCACAGTTCTTGCCCTGGTCATTTGACTATAGGGAGAATTGTGACTAGAAAGATAGATGATCCACTATATATGCTTTCTGCTTTGATTGACCAATCAGTGCTCAGTCTAGTGTTTTTAGATTGTGGTTGGAGCAGTTGTGAGGCAGTTGTGCTATACTGCTTCCTTCTACTCTACCATTTCAACTTGGTTTGAGTGATGTGAATTTTAACTGCATCCTTAACTTAAAGCTTTCTTCTGTAATACCAGAATTTCATTTAGTAGGATGCCTTTCTAGTCTCCCAGAATTCACCACAAAGAAGATATTTGTTTCTATCAGGCATGGGATTGTTTAACCATGGCACTTTTAGAAATGTGGTGGAAGAATCATGTGTAGGGCTGATGAGGACTTACAGACTATGTGAAATACAAGTCTGATTAAGTGGCTTTTGAATCTCCTTCATCGTTTTCAAAAAGAGGCTATCAGTGAGTACTTTATGATGTGTTTTATTAAAATGTGACTTAAAAGGGCAACATTTCGTAAATGTTAGTAATGAAATGTAAATTGAAATGTTGGAAAATCATTTATCTTCAAATCTCAAAAAAACAAGGTTGGTTGAATGGACCTTTGTCATCATGGTATTAGAAAAATTCCTTTATATCCATGAATCGCACTGCATAATTCAAGTAATATAAAGGGAGCCCCTTCTATTTGTGGATACAATCATTGATCAAGTGAAGTTCACAAACCACTGAAATTATATGAATAGTCTAAAAGCACAACTAGTTAGGAAAGAGCACAGAAAGCTGACTCTTCAGAGTTGTCAGGTACTCTTGAGCAATGTTGCTTTTGGGATCATCAAGTCAGGTTCCTGTTTCTTCCCTCTTTCAATGTGACTACCTTGGATAGTGAACAGTACTTTTAGTAGGAGTTTATATGAACCTCATCTTTTTCTTAGCAATTGATAGACCTATTTCCACCAAGTTATTCACCTAATAATTTTTTTTACGTGAAATGTGGCAGGGATAATTAATGTCAAGTTTATATATATATGAGTTAACTACCTTGTCTTTTATTCTTCTTGTGATTGAATTTATTTAAACATTTATAATTTTTTCCAGCTTGTGGCATGCTGAATGTGGTTACTTATGGGTTTTGTTTTGTTTTGTCATGAAGATGTGGGTGCTTAGGAAATACTTTAATGTGTAGAGGTTTTTTTTAAAGTTCATTGCTGATGGTGGGTATAGCCATCGACAGTCAACAAAATAACTTTTCCTTATGAAATCAGAAATGCATGCATGACTTTTATTTCTTAGTCATTATGACGGGATCAGTAATTTTTATCAAATCTTAGAAGAGGCAGTATAATGAAGAAAGCACTCAATTAAGAGTCAAAGGATTTGAGTTCAAATCCTTTTGTCACTTACAACCTGTGTGATAAAAGTTGCTTTCTCAGCCTCATCTGTGAAATGAGCAGGTTGCACAAGTGCCTTCCAAGGTCCTTTCTAGCTTTAAATCTGTGATCCTGGGAAATATGTTTATAAAATGTTCACTGATGCCTGAAGCTACACTAGAAAAATTAATTAGATTTGATCCCTTTTGTGTTTTAGTAAGTCTGTGCTGGTTATTTTTAAGATAAATTTTTATCAATATCTTTCTTTTTTATATAACCTATATTTTCCAATGTATCATTCCCCTCTCCCTTTCTGAAAGAACTGTTCCTTTTAACGGTGACTAAAAAGAAGAAAGAAGACAGTTTGGCAGAACTAACCAGCACATCAAAAAGTGTGTTATCATTATCTGCAGTATTTTTACATTCCTAGTTCCTCACCTTTGCAAAGAAGGGTGAGAGGTGCCTTCCCATGCTTTTTCCTTAGAGTCACTAGGTTGGTGACCAGGATTTTTTGGAGTATTTAGAATGGGTTAAGGTTCTTACTTTTATGCGCTGTGCTTTGGGGCAGTAGAAGTATTGGTAATATTTCTTTGTAGGCCTGTTTTTTCAAAAACCTGCATATATGTGTGTGGCATTCTTATGACCTCTCCTCAGAGGGTGTAAATGGGGACATTGGCCTCATTTTCCAGTGAAGTGACCATCTAGTTAGTCAGTGGCTTTTGTGGAATTTATCAGATCCCATTCATCTGAACAGTTTTTCAGTAGGTCTCAATACTCTTGAAAGCCTACTTTTAGGTATGATCATAATTTTCTCATTGATACCAGCTAAAGAATAAGGAGTTTGGACAGGGATTAAAGGTATAAAATTGTAATAGTCCCTCACCTAGCTACCTGTTAGTTTTTTGAAGAACTATTTTATTAATAATTATTCAATCCAGAGACTAATTGTGCCAAATAAAAGATGCTTCCCTTCCCTCACCCCCAGTTCTTTGAAGCTTCCCCACAATCTGTCCAAATGGTTAATGAAGCATTGCTCTCCCAGGAACAATCACTTTGTACTGACATAACACGCGTCACCATTTTTCTTGTTACAGTTCAGAGGGCAGCAACAATGTGAAAAGGCTGAAACTGGACACTGAACAAGATGATCAGAATCAAGGTGTGTAGCAACATAAATATCTTACCTTTACTTATAGTACATGTGTACCCTAGGGATATACTGGAATATATGGTATGGACCACTTGACAGTTGAATGCTTTATATGTGCTCTTTTTAAGAAATAGTATGATTATAAACAGGCCTGTGTAATTTTCTGAAGTATTTTGGTAACTGCTCTACAAAGTAATATTAGACCATTAGAGCAGAGAAATTCCAGTTATGGTCTCCCCATATTGGTTATATATAGTCTTAGTGATGGTTTTATTTGAAAAGCATTTTTCTTTTTCTAGTAAAAGTGGCAAGAATTGTAGTTTCCACTTAGATTATAGCCAGTTGACAGTTGAATATCCAAGTGTTTCTGAAGGTTTGTCTTGGTCTGAATTTAGAAATTAAAACCTCTGCCTTTAGTGTAGTCCCCAGTCATTTTTTTTTCTTTTGGTAAAACTGTAACTTGGCTGCCATTTATTTGGTGAAATCTGTTTTAAGTAGTTGTAAGTGAAGGTATGTGCTCTGGTGGTTAAGTCAGGAATTGGAAATTAGTAAGTCATCTCATTCTGTACTTATGGCTCTACCCCTACTGTCCTATGGGATTGAGGCACAGAGGTTAAATCATTGGAGTCATCTATAAACCCAAACAAGTCCTACCTTTATTTCTTAGTAGAAACATAGAATCTTTGAGCTGTAAAGGATTTCAGAGGTCACGTAGTTGGTCTAGGTCATATCTAAATAATAATCCCTTCTGTAATATCTCCAATAAGTAGTCATCTAACTTTTGCTTAAAGATCTCTAGTGATATAGCTCATGCTGCTTTTGAAAAGCTCTTTTACTAAGTTTTTTCCCTTCTATCAAGCCCCAAAATGATATAAAATACTTCAAAAATAATGGATTACCAAAGATGGGCTTACTAGCCATCAGGGAAATTTTTTGCGTATATCTGGTATTCAGTGAAAATATAGCTATTCCGTAAAGCATTAGTCTGCAGCATGTTGGGGTTTCTGGTAGGTGAATCAACTGATTTAATGAGGACCAATACAACTGCAAAGCTGACAGTATTGCTAAATAGCCCTCTTCCCTCATTGTTTTATCTGATTACATGGCACCGTTAAATGTGACTTATTCATTGATGCTGCCTACAACTCAGTAGCATAGTGGATAAAGCACTAGACCGGCCTTGGAGTCAGGAAAACCTGGGTTCAAGTCCTCCCACTGACACATTCTGGCTGTGTGAACTTAGGAAAGTCACTTCCCCTTTCCTGCCAACTCTGTAAGTTGCAAATGAGTTGCCAGTTTGCATCTGTGGAGGGAGTTTCAATACTGGGAGTTCCCTGCACTGATATAATCACAGGTTCAGCCACATGCACATATTTACCTTCAGTAAAACCTACATGGCTTCTTTAAACCATCCTGGTTTAGTTATAGGCAATAAGTCCATGATCCCAGCCTACCTCTGTTCCACCGTTCTTGCCCTGGTTTAGCTATAGGCAATGACATCATGCTCTAATAATAACAACAACTCATATAGCATTCTAACCTGTGTCCTTTCCTCACAACAACCCTGTGAATGAGAGGGCATAGTTATTATCACTCTCATTTCCCAGAAGAGAAAACCAAGGTGCTGAGAGGTTAAGTAGCCCATCAGCCAGTTGGTGAGTGTCACCTGTGCCCATTGTTGTGCTAGTCTCATGCAGCCTCTGTCCACTGAGACACACACTTTGTGCAAGTGCTCCTGGGATGGAGTCCCAGAGTCAGAAGACTAGGATTCACATCCCATTGTGACCTTGGGCAAGTTACTTAACCTTCTAAGTTTTCTCAGTCTCCTTAGCTTTAAAATTAAGAGACTGGACTAGATGACTTCTTTCTCCCTACTCCCCTAGCCACCACCCTGGTTTAGGCCGTTGGCACCTCTTGCTTGTATTATTATAGTAGACTTCTAATTAGTCTCCTTGCATCACATCTCTCCTCTCTCAAATCTGTCTTACATATAGGTACCAGATTCCTGAAGCACAGCTCTGGCCGTGTTACTGCTCTGCCCAGTAAGTTCTAGTAGTTCCCAGTTGCCTCTAAAATCAAGTATAAACTTCTTTTGTTAGCCTTTACAGCTTAACCTCAGCCAGCATTTCCAGCCTTCTTATACCTTGCTCCATTTAGTCTGTGGTGGAGCCAAACTGGCCTTGTAATTGTTTCTGGGCCTTTGCACTGACTGACCCATTGTCTGGAAAGCCTGCCCTTCTTACACTTGAATTTTCATTCAGAGCTCTGTCCTAGGGCCATCTTCTACACGAAGCCTTGCTTAATCCATCCAGCTCTTAATGTCTCTCCTTATAATTTCCTTGTATTTATTTTGTGTATGTTTTGTATATACTAATGTGTGTATGTGTCGTCTCCCTTGGAAGAGTGTAAAATCCTTGTAGAAGAGAGATAGTTTCTTTTTTGTCTTTGTATCTCCAACGCCTAACACAGTATCAAGAAACACTGAAAGCTTATTTAGCTGGTACTGTCTTATCAGATATGATATAGGGAAATGTGTATCTAATTAACAAAGTCAGCTTTACAGTATTAGCTCAACCACATCCCTCTTCTTGCCCTTCAACTCTTCCTAGCAGGGCCTGGGAAGGAAACATTCTGTTAGGGGTCAATATGTTTTACCAGCCCAGAAATCCTCAAAACTGACTTAAGTTTTAATCACCATTGTTTGGTTTCTGAATCTTTTGGACACAAATTCTTCTAGCAAGACCTTGTTGACACGCACAGTAGACAGGGCCCTACAGCTGAATGCAGGCACTGCTTTTGTGCTGCTGCTCCTTAGCTCTGTAGCAGAGCAAGTGAATGCAAAAGTGGGCTCCATCTACTCTCAAGTCACGCATCTGTCTGAATCCCAAGAACACACTCTTATTAGTAATTTTGAGTGTTAATTTGGCTTTACAATGAGCAAATGAAGGAAGCTGGCAAGAGGCATATCCGAATGTGCAAGATTAGAGGGCAGATTTCTTTCTCTTTGGGCAATTAACTACCCTTCTTTTTTCCTTCTAGCAACCTTCTATATAATTTAGGAAACTTAGTTTTCATTTTTTCAAAAGCGTCATTGATGTCATTTCATGACTTTGTCACTTTAGTATATATGATACTGTATTTTTGTGACTGGCTGCTATTCATTGGTTCCGACTATCCTGTCTATAGGGAACAAGGGTTTTTTCCCTTTTATTTTACAAGTGGAATTTCAAAATTAGGTGGTTTAGTTGACAATATATCCAGGATCTTGTTGGTAGATTAACATATATACCTGTCTTTGTCTGCAAAGTATTCCATGTAGGTGATTCCAGATACCTAAAGGTTTTAACACTTATTATAAAGTGTCAAATTCCTTTTGCCCCCACTCACTGCTCCTTTTAAAAAACATTTTAGGTTGGAATCTTTCAGAAATGTTACTTCTGGTTTTTGTTTTTTATGGTCAGTCTGTTTGGCATTTGGAGATCTTCATAACTTGTCCCCTTCCTGCCTTCCAGACTTATTTCGTGTTATTCCCCTCCTTTGGTCCAGTAAAACTGCATTTCTTTCTATTCTTCATACACCTCACTCCATTTCCCATTTCTGTACCTCTACTCTGGTAGACTCCCATGCTTGGCATGTATTCCTGTCCTTACCTCGACCTCTCAGAATCCCTAGGCTCATTCAACACCTACCTCTCAAAAAACAAAAACAAACAAAAAAACCCTGTCTCTCACACTACATTGCTTCTCCCCGATCCTCCACTTTTTGTCTATTTTGTATGTATTTTGCATATATCTATATTTGTGCATGCAGTCCTGCCCATTAGAATATAAACTTCTTGGGGCAAAGACTGTGACATTTTTGTCTTTGTGCCCCTAAAGCCAGGCATGTGGTAAGGCACTTAATGAATGCTTGTTGATTAATTCAATTTGCTGAAAATAATTTTAACTTTTTGTTGAGGAGTCAGGGTTATCATCATCTATGTATATATCTGTGTGTGTATATGTGTATGTATTTAATTGCTACATTGTAACTTAGTGATTCACTTGTGTTACTGAGGTGTGTGTAGAGCTGTTTACACCTACACCAAATGGCCTCAGACTGCTGTGCTTTTTGAGTTCTTATGTCTATTTTCTGTCTCTTCCCTCACTTTCGGCTGCCTTTTTTTTTTTTTGGTGAGGCAATTGGGTTAAATGACTTGGCCAGGATCACATAGCTAGTGTCAAGTGTCTGAAGCCGGATTTGAACTCAGGTCCTCCTGACTCCAAGGCTAGAGCTCTATCCACTGTGTCACCTAGCTGCCCCCCAGCTGCCACTTATTATTGATGTCATTGTATCTACCTCTAGATGTTCTATATTTATCCTTCCTGCCCATTAGCCAACTTGTTGCTTCTGATCAGCTATCAGCTAGAACCAAGCTTTATTAGACTAATAAATAATTTTGAGGGAGAACCTGAAGTAAAAGTACATGAACCTGTCTCTCTCTGTTGACTATATAGATTACTATATAGCTTCTAAATAAACTATAAAGTATACAATATAGCATCTATATAATGCCTATATAGGCTTTGTGACATTTGTTTTGGCTACTTAAAGAGGCCTCACTCTTTAAATCTTGACTTTATTACAGATAGTTGAGGTAGTCAGATAAATGACCTCCAGGAGCGATGTGTTACTGTGTTTAATACTAATACCTAGATCAGGATTACAAACTGTAGCTCAAGGGTCAAATCTACTGGAGTGATTTTTTTACATTTTAAAATATAATAAAAAAACATAATAAAACTATTTTTACATTGTATTAGAAAATGTGAAAACCTTAACCACCTAGTCAGCCTGGATTTGGCTGGAGGGCTGTAGTTTGCTGACTCCTGCCCTAGATGATAACATTTGTTGAAAAGTTTAGTGAGATAAATGATATTCAGATTGTCGTTTAAATATACCAGCCCTTGGTTCACAAACCACTCAGATTCCATCAAGGATATATTCTTTTGTTTTTGATTTTAGAATTGTAGGGGACCTCAGAGGTCACTGAGTCCAACAACCCACACATTTTACTAATGAAGAAACTATACCTCAGAGAAGTTAATTGACTTGCCCAGGTCACAAAGGTAGTAAGTGGCAGAGCCAGGATTTGAACCCAGGTCTTCTGAATCCAGATCCAGAGTTTATTTGCGTTGGGGTCTTTCAATTAAAATGATGCTACTTGCAACATCCTATTTCCATTTCAGTCTTTCAGTGTAGGTCATGGCCTTCCTTTCTTGGGCAGGCAGTGTAGCTTCTAGGAGACTAGGAGAGAAGGAGGGGGAAATCCCATGAATTCTAGTTTGGGCTACATCAGGTCAAGTCAGTAAGCATTTATAAGCACTTTCTGTGTGCCAGGTACTGTGCTAAGTTCTGGGTATACAAAGAAAGGCAAAAACGGTTCCTGCTCTCAAGGAGCTCAGAGTCTTAACAGGAGAGACATCATGCAAACAACTATATGTCCAGAATAAATTAGAGATAATCTTAGGAGTAAGACACTAGCATTAAGAATAGAGAGATAAGGAGGGAAAGAATTCCAGGCATAAGGGGCAGCCAGGGAAAATGCACAGTCAGTAGATGAGGTGTCTTATATGAAGGACAGCAAGGAAGCCTGAAACAGTGGATGGTAGAGTATATGCAAGGGAACAAGTATTTTAAAAAAACCCAAACCTAGAATGGTAGGAGAGGGCCAGGTTTTGAAGGGCTTTAAAAGCCAGAGGATTTTCTCTTTCGAGTTTATTGAATAGGGGTGACATAGTCAAACTTGCTTTTTAGAAACATTAATTTGACAGCTGAATGGAGGATGAAGTGGGGAGATACCTGAGACAAGGAGACCAACCAGAAGGATACGGCAGTATTCTGGGCATGAAGAGATGAGGAATGTGCACCTTGTCACTAACGTGTCAGAGTCAGAGCAGAGAAAGGGCCATACACAAGAGATATTATAAAGGTGGAATCAACAGACCTTGGCAACAGATTGACTATGGGGATAAGAGATGGTAGTTTTGTGTTATGAACTTATGAGTATGGTATTGTCCTATACATTAATAAGGAAGTTAGAAAGAGAGGATGGTTGGGGGGTAAGACAATTAGTTGAGTTTGAGGTGTCTATAGGACATCCATTTTGAGGAGACCAGTATGCTGTAGGAAATGTGAGACTAGAGATCAAGAGAAAGGTTAGAACTAGATAAATAGATCTAATAACTCCCTCCATAGAGATTAGTTGGTATAACTTGGATGAATATGCAGCAAAGGATACTAAAAAGGAGCTTGTCGGATCAGGTAGGAAGAGAATATGGAGAAAGCAGTATAATGAAAACCTATAGCAAAGAGAGTACCAAAGAGAAAAGGATAATAAACAATGTTAAAAGATTCAGAGAAGTCAAGAAGGATGAGGTTTGAGAAAAGGCTGTTAGATTTAGTGATTAGGAGATGCATCTGTAACATGCTCTGTTTGGAAAGTCATTTAATCTCTGCCTCATTTTCCTCAGTAAAAGAAAGTTAGTGCCACATATCTCCTTACTGCCCAGTTCCTCCTTGGAGAAACTAAAGGCATTTGTCCATCTATTGATTAATCATTTTTTTCAATTAAATGAGCATTTTTTTTCCTCTCCTACCTCCGTTGCCCACTGGAAAAAGAAAAACAAAACTCTTGCAAATAAAATGCATGGTCAAGCAAAACCAATTCCCATGCTGGCCATTCACTGGTCCTCTGTAATCATGGACAGCCATTGCATTGATCAGAGTTCTTAAGGCTTTCAAAGTTGTTCTTTATTTCCCCCATAATACTGTTGTAGATAGATTGTTCTGGTTCTGATCACTTCACTTTACATCAGTTCATGCGAGTTTTTCCAGGTCTTTCTGCAACCATCCTGCTCATCATTTCTTTTTTTTTTTCTTTAGGTTAGACCTGTGCTTTCTTTATTCTAGATTTGTCACTGTTAGTAATAATGGAATGTCAAAGTTACCAATTATATCTTTCATCTGATTCTTCTTGTGATGCTGATAATCTTTAAAAATTGGCTTGCTGTTATTATTTCTGTCTTCACTTTGTCCCTTGGTTCTTTTATATTGAAAATTTTAAAAACAAATCCAGTTCTCTGATTTGGTAACTACGTTCCTTTCAGCATTACATAACACTCTTGCCTGTCTCTTTCAAGGTATTCTGATTGAAATTAAAATTATTTCATATCATCATTACCACTGTTCCTATTCTTACACTTGAATATTTTAGATCAAGATTCCAAATTTTAGTCTACTGCCATTTTTTTTACATTGTATTAGCTTGCATTGCAAACTGTATTTTTTTTTTATCCATTCTATAACACCATCATTTCTTACAGGACAATAGAACTCTATTACATTTGTGTACCATGTAACTTGATCAGCCATTTCTCAATCCATGGGTGCTCACCCCCTTAATTTCTAATTCTTTACCACCATAATAAAGAGTATTACTTTAATGACCTTCCAGGAAAATATTTAAATGATAAGTACATAGGTTGATTAATATTTATTGGGCAGATTAATGTGGTGAGGATTTCAAATTGTTAGAATTGTATACAGTCACTTCACCTGTAACCCCCAGTTTCTTCATCTGCAAAATGGAGTTAATAATACTTATGCCACATACCTCACTGGGTTTTTGTGACTGTTTTGTAAACCTTAAAATGTGTCATATGAGAGTTGTTTATCATTAGTAATAATACTGATGTTTGATAATATAGTCACAATAAGGAAAAAGCTGGGTCCCCAATCTGAGTTTCTCAGCTTCAGTATTATTTTTTCTTATAAGATTTGAGTAAATCTCTTTATTTCTATTTCACTTGATCTTTTTTTTTTTGGGTGAGGCAGTCAACACTTGATCATTCTTTAAGTCAGTTCAATGCAGTAAGCGGTATGAAGCACCTGCCAGGTAATGTGGTATATGTTGGGAATATAAAGATAAGACAGAACATAATCCTTGTCTCTGCCTGTCTCAAAGAGACATTGAATGAAGGTTAATGAGCTCAGGGATATGAATTTATTTCTTTACAAAAATGCTGTACCAAGTCATAGAGCATCATCACTTAAAAAATGTAATAATAGTCCCCAATGCCTTTCTTTCCACAGACACTCCATCATGTGTGCCACTTGGAAGCAGTTCCTTGAGTGGTTCTACCATTCACTGCCCCTCTGCTGCTGTCTGCATTGGGATCCTTCCAGGCCTAGGAGCCTACTCTGGAAGCAGTGATTCTGAGTCCAGCTCAGACAGTGAAGGCACCATTAACTCTACTGGAAAGATTGTGTCCTCGGTTTTCCGCACCAACACTTTCCTCGAGGCTCCGTAATTCCTTCTGCCCATGATTCCATTGCAGGAGGCTCCTCCCCCATGGGGTGGTCTGGACACTTCGTTTTGCCCTTGGGCATTACCTTCCTTGAAAACCTCCTTTGCCTGCTTCCTGTGCACACAGCTACGTCTTTAACTTAGTCTAAGAATATGCTAGAATCCTAGCTGTGGGAGCTAGATGTTTTGTTTTTGTTTCCTACTCTTGGTACAGGGGACTGTACCTGTTGTGTTGTCTTTTCACTCTACTCAGCTGGGTAAGGGGCAGGGCAAGTGAGAAACCTGCTGAAAGCATCTCCTTGAACAGAAGACATCTGCTGGTTTGCTGAGGGTTTGGTTATTTTTTTCCCTCTCCAGCAGAACTAAGGCAAAGACAGTTATTGAACAGTTATTGTTTGAATATTCTGTTAAGGCCAATTTTACAGCATCATTTTGTTACACTGCATTTTGGAGTGTTAGGAGGAAGAGAACTGATCCAGGTGATGATATGGAGAACTTTCCTGACACTAACCAATTCCTGATGTCGTGTAGCTAAATAAAGATTCTCAATTCATATCTGTAGTGGGTGCCTCTTATCACTCATTTATTGTTCATTCTCAAGGTCTTCTTATACTTGGCTATTCCTTCTATCCCCCCTCTTACCCCTCCTCACAAACCCCAAACAAAGCACCCAATTGACTAGTGAGATCAGTGACATCTCATATGACATCTCATATGAAGGCTGTTTTCTAAAAAGTAGGTCAGAGTTGAAGTATGCTTGAATCTTCTTGCCTAGCACAGTAATAGAAAGAATTTGGTGAGAATAGAGAACTTTTTTCCCTAATAAACAATCATTTATTAAGCACCTACTATGTGCTAGGTATTGTCTGTGCTAAGCACTGGGGATTGATTGATAGAACTTCTTCAGTTGTACCCATTAATAAAAGCTGCCTATAGTCCTGTTTAAAAAAGTAGCTTATTTGAAGGAGCTCACAGAATCCAGCAAACCCTAAAAGGCTAAACACAAGTGATACACATGCTTAGAGTGTCTGAACAAATGGTATATGACTCAATTGAAGCTGTTCCCTTAATGTGAGATAGAGTTTTGGCTTTCAACTGTTGAAGATATTTTTAGGGTGTATACTCCTAAGGGATCAGCCCTAACCCTTCCCTGTACTGATGCCTAGTATATCACTGACTACATCAGCTACTGATGCTTTACTCCCTTCACTACCAGAAAATCTCAGGGGCTGCAGTGGATTCCTACTCTAGTTATGGAAACCTTGAGGGTGGAGGAGTAGGCATAGTGTTAAGAAATCTGAACCATTGCTTTAGTCTCTGTGTCAATTATTTCTCATTTAGGTGTCAGACTGACACACACACACACACACACACACACACACACACACACACACACACACACACTCCTGTAACAGGTCAAGAAGTAATCTTATATGGCTTGAGGGACCCCCTCAACTCATTTTTCCCGTGCTCCTTACAATGACACTTTGATTTCCATTGGCAGATGGCAACTCCTCTTCATCGATAAGTTGGCTTCTTGTAAATTCCTTCTCTTTCCTTCTACAGAGCTGCAGTGTGCTCATTGTACCTTGGCTGTCAGCACAGGCGGGGCTGCCCTGTCTTAACAAACAGCTGTTTAGGTAAGACGGGTGTGTAGGCACCTTCTGCTTTGTTTGTTTCATTGTTTTTATGGTAGTGCTGTCGTGATTACAGCATGTACACCCATTGAGCCTTGGAACTGTCACAAGCCACATTAGAGAATGAGAGCTACTGTCTAGTTTGGTCTTTAAGATATCTTGCCATACCTAGAACGAACTTAGAAATGAATGCAGTTGCTAAAAGCAATACATTACTTTGAATGTGTGCTCAGTAAGCATTTGAAGAACAAAATCTATATTATTTAACTATGTTGATGAAAGAAACAATTGTAGGGAGAATAGCTCTTCCTGCTGCTGTTTTTGTTCTTAATGTATCAAGAGATTATAAAACTATGATCTGTGTTTTACATTTTTCCTCTGTGCCCATTAATCATATCCTTGGCCTTAGATCAAAACAGTATTTGTAGTAACAACTAATAGCAAAGTGAGGGTCTGATGATTGCCTAATAGCTTAAGCAGCCTTGACAAGTGTCCAGTTTATCTTGTGGTTTTGATTCAAAGATGAATGGGGGTGGGGAGGGAGGAAGGGCAAAGGGAAGCCTTTTAAATCATAAAGAACATTTCATAAAATAATCAGCAAATACAGTTCATGTTTAAATCCAATTCAGCTGGTTAATTAGAGATGAAAAGCCTGGTTAATAAATTTAAAACACCTGTATCCCTCAGACTTATCTTCTGAAGAACTTTAGTGTGAGGCTCACACCCTTATGGGAAAGAAGTAGTCCAGAAAGGTTAATTCCACCACTGCCATTACAGGTAAAGAAATGAGGAACTTGGAGCTGGGAGTTCCACCTCAGCCTGTACTCCTCAAAGACTGAGCTTAACAGGGGAAATTAAATACTTAATTCAGAGGTTGAATAATTCTCAGATCAGCCATCATACCAGCCTGTGGATCTTTTCTAATAGGATGCCATCACAGTTTTATATCCCACCAGACATTAAAGAATTGCTGGTGAAAATGGCAAAGGGCAAAATCGACCAGCTTATTCTAGTTCCTTGCCTTCTGAGCTAAATGTTAATTAGTTTGGGACACACAGTTCTTTGGCTCCAGTGTTGTAGCTGTGGGTATGTGGCTCAGCTGTTGCCTTAAACCCCTCTGGAAAAACAAAAATGAAAGCTTGCTGGCTCTGCACAGTCATTTGGATTTGGGTATTTCTTGATTTCCTTATGTACCAAGCCCACTTAGCTGTGACAGCAGCATGGAACTGGAGCTCTGCTTGTTGGGAGGCAGGAAATTTAGACCTCTATCTGTAGTCACAGGTTATACACAACAAGCTAGTTGCACATTCGTGCTGTGGCAACACTGGCCAAAGCTGGTGCTTTGCTGCTTGCTTACCTGTGTAGCAATAATTTGGGGGCAAGAGTTAGGAGTGTTGGAGTTACAGTAACAAGGAGAATCTAATGCCCCCATTAATTGCCTGTCAGCCTGAAAGGAGTCTGACAAAGAAGTGGAGTGACATTTTCTCCCAAACTCCCACCTTTCATTTAAATAAGAATCTTTCCCATGACTGAAGAATCACAGAATTCCAAAATTGGAAGACTTTGGAGATGCTGTAGTGCAATCTTGACTGATTGTAAATCTCTGTAGCATTCACTTACAGAGAAGAGCATGGCATGATGGAAAGAGGGCCAGGACACTTGGGTTCAGATTCTGCCCTTTTGTTTTTTTTCTTCACTGACATTTTTTTATTAAATATTTGGCCACGTCTTATGGAAGAAAATACACATAGCTCACAACTTCAGAAAGCACATTTGCAGTCCAGATGGTTTAGTTACAAGAATGATCCCTCTATGGCACACACTCAGCAGGAGCAGCAGGCCTAGAGATCCACAGCTTGGGATGGCCCTGGCAGGGGTAGTGAAGGCCAGCAGGGCATCTTTACTGTTTTGTCTGTGTGACCACTGGCAAGCCTCCTCACTTCTCTCAGCCTCAGTTTCCTTGTGAGTAACATGAACATGATCTGTACTAGGCATACGTTACAGGGGTCAATGTGAAAGAGATTCAGATGTGTCTATGGGAATGTCTGCCAACCACTTGGTAAGTTTTAAGATGCTCTACAATTGTCAAATATTTTTAAAACTCATCAACAACTGCTGACGAGTGGTTTCTGATGAGGAGTGCTATGTCCTTGGTACATATTTGAAGCATGTGCCTCTAGAGTTTATCACATACAGAACCTCTAGAGAAGGGGAATTCGCTATTTTAACTATAATTTGAAAATGCTTCATGTGGAGGTAAAATTTGTTTTCCTATAGAATTTTCCCTATTCCTCCTAATTTATTTTGTCCTCTGTAAAATATAATCACAGATTCTTGAAATATATACGAGGACACAGCCTCTATCCCTCATCAGAAAGCATTGGTTGGAAAAAGTGTCTTCATTGATAGCACCAAAGATGTCTCATCTTGTCATGTCTTCTAGTTCCTGTTGCCCATAAGCAATAAAGTAGCTAATTTACAGCTATGAATGCACACTTTCTAGCTGTCCTGAATGGTGTCTTTATTTTAGGGCTGTGGTTTGGCCTCCTGAGGTATTTGGAGCTTCGCTGGGCTCTGACGGGCTTTGGTGGCCATAAGCAGGAAATACCAACTGCAGGAAGCATCTGCAATGAGAAAGTTATGATCTATTTTCTGGGTCAGGTCATTTTCCTAAAGAGCTACCCCCCCCAATAGCTTGCATAATCAGTAAGTAGATGGTAAACAACCTGTTATGTGCACATTTCCATTAACAATCTTAAGGGAAGTCTGATCATTGAACAAATAGCCCAGTTCTAGAGATGAGTTCCAGCTCTGCAGCTGCCCTTCCACAGGCACACCTCCTCCTAAGTAGGGCTTCCCCTAGTTATCTCTTCTGAGGACCCTCTTTGAATGTTCAAGATGAAACACCATGCAGGAGATGGTGGCTTTTAAGGGTAAAAATCAGCATTAGCCCTGGGAAAGAGTTATGGAAAAAAAAGGTTTGTTTGGTAGGATGGAGATATGCTGTACACACTAGGGGGGATGCGGCATTCCTCAGATTCAGCAGCAGGCTTCCAGACCCCCTGTCCCCCAGAGCCAGCCTCAGAATGACTGAGACACTTACAAGTATGAGCTTGTATGGTTCTTTTACTGTTTCTATCAGGTGGGTGTCAAAATGATTGTCCTGGAGCTGGGTGTGGTCCATTTTCCAGTTTTTGAGGGTATTCCTTAAACAGAAATTATGAGAAGGGACCCTGTACAAACCAGAGTGAGGAGGTTGAGGCCAGGGCCTGTATACAGTAAAATAAGCTACATTGGAACTTGGCTTCTCAGATTTGTAACCCCCCAGGCTTTGTCCAAGGAAAGAAGCTTTCATGGAATGTCTGAGTTTCTTTATTAACCTGAGTATAACAAATAGAACATATACACAGTATAAAAATGAACAGAGCATGAGAGAGGTATAGGCTTAACACAAATACATAACAGATACACCTTTTTTTTAATCATCATATATAGCTAGTTGCTTGAAAAAAAAACCAGTTCTGATTGTAAAAATTTATTCTCTTTGATAATTATTCCACTAAAATTATACAAAGTACATTCAATACTTGAAAATGATGGTAGGGAGGAGAAAGGAGTGGCCCTGTGTGGCATGGTAGTATCATCAGGGTTGGCAAATTTGACAAAGGAAACCCAGCTGTGTTTGGGAGAGTTCAGGAGAGTGTCCAGTTGTGTTAAAAAAAAAAAAAGGCCGATTTGTTTTTTTTGAAAAAACAAAACAAAAACAAAAACCAGCAGTGAGGAAGCCTGGTGCACGTGCGCTTTCCTTGGGGACTGTGATGAGGTTTGGCTGACATGCTGATGCCATTCTGAGGGGAAAGGAGGCTGCTGGAGGCTATGCAGGCTCACAGCTGCCAGGCGGCAGGTTTTTGTGTTTGAAATACT